TGATGTCTTGCTCCCGTTGAATTCTTTGTTCCCATACTCATCTTTTGTGGTCCCAGTAAAGTATCTAACCAACAGGACAACAAGAACTAAGAAAGCAACTAGCAACCCAACTTTACCAATCGATGTAGTAAGCTTGTTGAGTCGTTCTTGGAGAGGGGTTTGCTCATTAGAATCACTGCTGATTTGGCTCATCATTTCACCCCAGGTCGTGTTCATTCCAACTGATGTCACAAGCATCATGCCATAGCCATCGGCAATCTTTGTCCCAGAAATCAAGAACGGATTTTGTCTAAGGTTAATCGCAACATGATCACTTTCACCTGTCATGCTAGATTCATCCACTTGTAAAGAATGACCTTGTACCAAAATCCCATCAGCAGGGACTTGATCTCCAATCTTTAAGCAAATGACATCTCCAACAACAATTTCAAATATCGATATCTGTTGGCGCCTCCCCTTTCTAACAGCTTCGACTGGGATATTTTTGCTCACCTTGGAAAGTTTATCGAACTGTCTGTTTTGTCTAAAATTACTAATAGACGAAACAGCAATGACAAGAAACACCGCGACATAAATACTCCCTCCATCGTACCATCCTTCTTTCAGTCCATGCTCCTTAATTCCAAATCCAAGAGACAGAGAAGCACAGAGCAAAAGTATAATGATAGTAGGATCTTTGAATGATTCCCAAACAAAGATGAAGAAACTTTTACTAGGTGGCTTACAATACGTATTGCTTCCAAAAGCCTCATGTCTACGTGCAACATCTTCTGAATCTCCGCTTACACCATCAGTTGTATCACTTTTGAGAGAAGCAGCAACACCTTGTACACCTCCAAGGTTAGCAAGTTTGTCGATGTTTTTATCCTTGACAAGCTTAGATAGATTTGACTGATCAATGCCTGAGAAAAAAGGGTGGTGTTGAACTACATCAATTGCGATTGTATCAGTCGATACATGACGTGCTTTTCTTGGATTGTAGGCAGCTCCATGTAATGCTTTAGTGCTGGTCTTAATTTCAAAAGCTCTGGAACAATAGATTGTAGCAAAAGCTAAGTGCCATCTTTTTTTGCTGGAGAAATCAACTTCAGATGGCAAATCAAGTGTAATGTGCATGCAGAGATAATGCAAGTTTGCTTGAAACATCATGGACAGGCCTTTCTATGACTGTAAAGGTGGAAAATGCTAGCGTAATGAAATTAATGTTTGTATTATGATGACGATTGATGAAACTTAACTAGTTCAGGATTGAGACGTAGTTAATTGATATACGAAAGAAAAGATAAAATTGTGTTTGGAATTGGATGAATAAATTTGTTTCATGGAAGATCCTTTTTATAGGGAAGCTAAAATATGCCCCCGCGTAAGAAGCTATAACGGCAGTTTATTGACTTTTAAGTATGTTTCCATTGGAGGGCCATGTATCTGTATTAATGTCCATGTCCAAGCATTTCCAGCTTCCTTCTACACTATTTGGGTGAATTGGTTAAAGTCACAAATAGTTAACTTTTTAGTCTTTGTAAATAATTTATTGTTCTAAAGTTTCAAATTTCACAAGTTTCAGGATATTGTCTTGAAGTTTCACTCGTCGAATTTGAAAAATGATTATTAAGATGGGGTCGCAAATATGGCTATTAAGCTGATCATCTTATGGGTGTATAATAATAAAAACATATCAATGAGAATTGCATATCGTGTTAAACTTTGAAAACAAAAGAAGACTTTTTTCCAAAGATGCAAAAAAATTGAAATAAAAAGTGGGACCACAATTTTAAAGCATAGGGCCTAGTTTGCAACTAAAGTAGATAGAAGTATAGAAGCTTTTTTCTCATATATTGAACTATCAAACATACCTAATCTTGTCGACAAATTTGAAATCCAAACCTAGTCGGTTCAGTTTAATAACAGAGTTATAATTTTCACTAAAGAATTCATCATTTGCTACATAAATAGAAAGATTATATAATCCTTAACTTTGTTATTTAAAATTGATACATCAAACTGACTCAAAATTTGAATGAACATTAAGCTTTGATCTTAATTGTGTCGTGTTTAACATTTTTCCACGTTAAACTTGCTAGAATTATCATTTCATGTTTCCTACTAAATTATTTCCATCCATCTATATAGAAATTCACTACTCAATAAATTAATCCATGGGATGGACTACATCTAAATTAAGTACTTTTAACATAAATTTAGTAAACTTGTAATAAATAATAAATATTACTTATTACATATAACTTTAAAAGTATTTGCTGAAAATTCTTAAACATCACCTATAAAATTTATATCATAAATTCGTTTCTACACAAATTTCAAAAAATGTGTAAATGATTTTAATATTGAACCTTGAACCCTGTGAATTGCGTGAAAGTAGGATACTCCAAATTCGGGGGTCAAAGAGTTTTAGAAAACGTTCTTGGTGGAAAAAAATGTGAATGAAGGATCCCACTGAATTGAATTGGGTCCATGAATCTAAGAAATGGTGAGAATTCTTGATCTCTCAATATCTCTCTCAATTCGAAAATCCAGGATTTGAATTGATGTCCTCTCGTTGATTCCTCCTAAATTGCATTGATTCCTCCTAAATTGCATTGATTTATCCTAAAGATTTCACATATAAAAGTTTCGAATCAATTTTCTTTAGAAAGAAGATCTTTTATTTCATGATAGTCTGCTTCAAAGTTAGCCATATACTTCACATGTTTCTAGTGATTCACGTGATATCATCAAATGATACGATGCACTAGAAAAACAAATCTATAAGGAAAGAACAATATTTTCAGATTTGAATTTTTTTTTGTTTTATTAATTGAATTAATAATTATTATTAGGATTTTCCAGGAATTTCAGTGCAGTAAAATAACATTATTCGAATATGTTCTTTGCGCGTTATATTAACAACTTTGCTTGTACAATTTCAACATAAATACGTACGCATACTATATAGTATTATCTATTGATTCAAGTATATACCTTGAATTTTCTACCGTTTGGACATATTATTTATGTTTGATACGGAGAAAAATATTTTTTTAATGTTTTCAGCGATCAAATTTTTTGTGAAAATAATTTCTTTTTAAATGAGGAAAATAACTTTTTCAATGAAACTGAATAATTGTCTCCTCTCCACCCTCCAACACAGGCTTGCGACCATCATCACCCTCCCAGACAGTGGTAGAGTCAGGATTTTCAATAAAATGTTCAAAATTCGTAGAGATAGATACACAAAGTAGCCGAAGGGAGTTTGACATCTATTATATATACATAAAATATTAATTTAGTCATGTACACATAGTAGAATTTTCCATCGAAGGGGGTTCATCCAAGGTGGCTCCGCCCTACTCCAGAGCCGCACCACCGCACACGCCTACATACCCTTCGATTTTTTTTTTATAATATTTATCTAGATTATATAAAATATTTATGAAATAATACTAAAAAATAAATATATATCTCATTTATTTTCCAAAAAATATCATTAAAAAAAAATTCCGTGAAAAACATTTTCACATGTAAACAAACCTAAAAAGGTACTTGAACTTGCTGTCTTCCTAAGTTATACGTGGAGGTGTAATTGATGTTCCCTTCAATCCCATAACTTTGGGGATTAGTATTCTTTTGCATTGATTCGTTCACTTTCTAGTCCTTTCTATGTGGTTTCCTAAATATTCTTTATGATTTTTCATATAGCTAGTCTTCACATTTTTAAAATAATAGATTATGTGAGTAAAGAATCTATCGAAAATAATTTTTTTAATTTTCGTAAAGTTGAAATAAAATCATGTACACATCACTTTTGTTAGAATATTATCTAATATGTAATATTACATTCAATATGTTATTATTTTAAGTCGAGGATCTATTAAAAATAATCTTTTTACTTTCATATAAGGTATGAAACAAAAATTACATACACATCACTCTTTCGAGAATATCTCATTTACAAAATTATATTGAATATGTTGTTATTTGAGTCGATGATCTATTAAAAATAATCTCTCTACTTTTACAAGATGGAAAAAAAAAAGTTGCTTACACAATACTTTTTTTAGAATATCATATTTATCAAATAATTACACTGAATATGACATTCTTATGATAATCAAAATTTTCATTTAAGTGTACATTACTATCATCACTTTTTTCAAATTTGAAATTAAAGAAAAATAAAAGGTAAGTTTAATAATCTTTTCAATTAACCAATTTATCATGGACATATAGTGTGAATATTCTTTTTAAAAAAAAAAAAAAACTGCTACTGATGTGTTGATGATAATGAAATGACAAATTATAGCAGCTATATGGTCAACTATATAGTTAACTTAGATATTAAGATTATTTCATTCTTATGCAGCTTCTTTTAATGTCGACAATTTGTCTCCGTTATTTTATTAATAAATGTTACGACAGTTGGGGTTAGGCATAAAATTAAATGACAAACAATATAATATTGGAAATTTTGAATTTATTCCAAGTTTTCAACTATTTTATTATTTTTGCTTTCTTGTTAAGTAGGAAATTTCTTTTTTATTTTATATTTTGATAATAAAGTTGCATGAATTAACTTATGTGCACTTTAATTAGCTATCCATTTCATTAATAATTAGGTTGTATTTAATTTATGTTACCCAATTTCACTTTGGAGCTTTAATATATAGTGACACTATAGTTACGTTGTTCTATGTTTTATTTTTGTTTTGCCGTTCAAGTTAGTTTGTTTATATATATATCCCTAATGGGTAAAATTAGACTAATAAAATTATTCTTTTAGTATTTAAAAGGTAAAGTGAAAATACATATTACACTTAATCATAGTTAAGTACATTTTATACGAACAGCGGCTCGAACTCTAAATTAAGATGCAATAATATGTTTTCTACATTATTAGTATAAATAATTTAAATATTATTGTGTTATTTTTATTTATCGTGGTACATAATTTATTCTATTTTTAAAAATTATAAATCTCATTTTTTAAGAAAACTAATTATGCAAAAATAGTTTTTGATGAAATAAAATTAAGTCTATAGTTTTGAATATGTCATTCTCATGTATATCAACTTCTATAAAGAGTACATTAAATGATGGACAAAGTCCTCTAACAATTTGAATAGTTCTTATGATAATATTGTATTACGTAAGATATTGAGTGTCAAATGATGATATTATTATGATGTCAGTTAGCCACCTCAAAATTGATACTCTTTTCGTCTCGTCAATCTACGTGATATTATTTGATTTGATACGAAATTTACGAAATAAAAATTGATTTTTGAAATTTGTGGCTTAAAACAAGTCATAAATGTTCGTGTGATTATAATAGACATTTTAAAGTAAAATTCTTAGTACTAAATATACAAATATGTCATTTTATTTTGGACTAACTAAAATAGTGTGTGACAAAGAGAGTACTCCTGTCATCCCCTTTTAGATGTCGTATTGCGTTTTTCGAAAGTTAATTTAACGAAATTTTTAAATTGAATTAAATTACATTATTTTTAGATATTCAAAAACTATACAAAATTAAAGTACTATAAATTGCATTTCTTGGCATATCAATATGATGAAGAAATATGTTCTAAAATGTTAGTCAAAATTTTTATTATTTAACTGAAAAAGAAAATTATGACAACTAAAAGAGATGGAGGAAGTACTATTTTTAAGTTTATATACTAGTATTTTTTTTCTTTTTCAAAAAGCTTATGTATGAAGTTTGTTGCAAAGGATCTCTCAAGTTCCTTAATGTCTTTCCAAGAAGGTTATAAAAGGGGATTCTTAATGATATTCTTAACTTTTCCTTGTCAATGTTAGGTATTTATTGATTTTTGGGAAGAAAATGAAGACTTAATATAAAGGAAAATGTGAAAGAAAATTTTGATGTGGATTTATACCTTACGATACAATTTTCTAAGATAGTAAACTTTCACTATCAATATGAATTTTTTGTCCGAATAACCAATCAAGTTTTATTATTAAAATGAGAAATGATAGACACAACAACACATTCTTTGGAAAATTCTCTCTTAATAGTCCTTTTAAAAAAGGGATAATGCCCAAGTACCCTCTCAACCTATGTCCGAAATTTCAGAGACACACTTATACTATATTAAGGCACTATCTTGTGGGCTCAAGATAGTTGATTT